TGATGGAATCAAAAGCATTAAGAGATTGGTCAATGTGGGAGTTCCTCAGGGGTCTATCTATCCTACAGGGTGTCCATAAAGTAACTTGACATAACGATTTTTTTTCTCGTTGTCTACTGAAATTTAATGTTGACGTAGTCTTAAAGAGGACTAAATTCTTTATTCTGAAACACCTATTTAAACACATTTTCTCCATCCCAGGTACTTGAAAAATTAATATTTTGACAACTGCTGAAAATGCCCAGTTTGTCACAAAGAATAAAGATCATCAAGTGGCATTTTGAGTCAAAATCAGTGGCAGAAACACGAAAGAAGTTCAAACATCATTACAAGACATCCCAAGGGCCTTTTTGCCCAGCCATTTATGATCTTGTCAGGAAGTTTCAGGAGACAGGGTCAGTTCAAGACCAACTGAAACAAGGTTGACTGTCACTTCAGAAGAACGAGAAAATGCTCCAAAATGATAATTCAATTGATTGACATTTTCATTGAAAAAAATGGGACCAATTACAAAGGTGCATGACATGGCACACCACACTGTCACTTTGGCAGAATGAAGAGGCTGTTCAGCTGTCGCAACTGGATTTTCTTCTTCCCAGAAATGAATGTTTTGGCAGTTAACTCTGCCACTGAGATGGAAGTTAACCTCATCTGAGAAGAAAATATTGTCCAGAAAATCCTCATCTTCATCTACTTTTCCCAAGAACCTTTTGCGAAAAACAGTTTGCTTCTCCAAATCTGTCTGCTTCAGTTCTTGCAGTGCTTGGATTGTATAGGGAAACCAATGCAAGGTGTTCTTGAGGATTTTATGAATTGAAGATGCTAGGTATCAAAATTCCAGAGTAGCCCATCTTAATGATTTCATGGGGGAGCACGTGAATCTCTCTACAATATCTTAGAATATTTCCTCATTCTCCTGAAGTGATGGTTGACCTTTTTTCAGCTGGTCTTGAACTAACCCTGTCTCCTGAAACTTCCTGACAAGATCATAAATGGCTGGGCGAAAAGGCCCTTGGGATGTCTTGTAATGGCATTTGAACTTCTTTTGTATTTCTGCCATTGATTTTGACTCAAAATGCCAGAGACAAAACACATACACCAAATCTGTGCAAAAATAACTAATTTATGGTGTGGTGATGCATGCAGAAAATTCATATACAATTTTAAGAGAAATGGACATATATGATATATGGGACATATATGGTCTATCATGTATGATATATGAACATATATGGGAATAAATATCTGATCACATCTTATTAAAACAAAGAGTATATGATCATACATACCAAGGCCATATAAGAGTCATAAAAAAGCATATATGTACAGGGTGGGCCAAAAAAAATCTTCAGTTATCTTTAACGCTTCACAGCGTAGTTTCTTGAGAGTTTAAGAGTATCGTTATATTGTTTCTATATAAAACATTTATCTAGCTTTCCACCGTTGTCAAAAGATTTCAGATCCAATTTGTCATTCTGATGCAGTTATGCACAATGTAACAGAGATAGCGCGTGAAATGTGCACTTACCAGTACAATGTGGGATGTGCTCCAGTTGATATCCATTCTTTTGTTTAGGGCGAGTAGGCTAAGTCTTGCATGCACTGGCTGAAATTGCAGTATGGCACCAACTTTTCCAGCACCACCTCTTATACTCTTTATTTAACTGCATGGTAGTTAGGCCACAAATCTTTATTTTATTGACATCATTCGAAAGCTAAATGAACATTCTACATTACAATTTTAGCAAACTCTTGGGGACCAGTGCTGAGGAGTGATGAAGATAACAGAAGTTTTTTTTGGCCTATCCTGTAGAAGAAATGAAGGAGCGGATAGGATACTTGTATGATTAAGTATGTCTACCTAGTACATATATGTCACACCTGATAAGAGACATGGCCAAATCAGGTGTGAAAAATGCATGAAATCATGTTACTCTCAAAGGTCTCTCCCTAATGTAAAAAATAATTCAGGAACTAAGCTGAGAATTGGCACTTCACTGTCACTTCTGTGAAAATACAAAAACCATTCACTTCCAACACGGCACAAGTACATCCAAAAGTTATTCCAGAGATAACTACTATAGCCTTCTCAGCAATACTAAAATATCTGGGTGCCTTTCTTTCTGAAACAGACACATTTTCTGTCATACTCGACAAACCCTTTAAAAATAAAGTTGGTATTTTTGGCTGAGGATGCCTAAAAGTGATCTCTAAGAAGTCCCAAAGACATCCCTTTTGAGATGTTGCAAACCATCTGTCTGGAGATGTCCTTAAAATATCTCTTGAAGACCTTAGGACAAGTAGTCCAGTTGTAGACATCCCCGGGATGTCATTGTGCTGTGTGTGTATGACCATTCCATATAAACTGTGTACTGTACCTTATGCATATGAGAAATATATTTCTAGTGATATACTTTGTTATGAAAGCATGCATGCTGAACATGTATATAGAATATATGAAAGTCCTTTATAAAAATGTATATACTAAACCAGGTACTTCATCATATATGCAGGAGCCCATCCCTCAAATCACAGAATTATTTTGTACAGAACATATGTTTCCCAGGTATGCTTAATATATGAATTATCCTTACATGGATCATGTCCTTCAACCATAAATGCCCTCATACATGTGTTCATATTTCAATACATGAAAAATATATGAAATTATGTGGTGCAGATAATTGCATATAACTACCATATATGATCTTCCCATATGGGAAGTATGCCACTTAATTCCATGGTCACTCTTAAGAAACATCTACTTCACACTAATCCATCCCAATATAATTCACTGCATATCAATATCGGATAATACATATCACAAGTATTTGCAAGATATAGAAGTGCTTAAAAGAAGAAGCATTAAGATTATGAGCTTTGTATGATATAGGGACCATGCTGAAGATTTCTTTCTATTCTGGAGAATTTTGCCACTAAGAAAATTAATTCAGTTTCATCTTTGTGTAATAATTTACTAAGAAAGTGCAATTCCTAATGCCAGAAACCTAAAGCTAATCAGGATTGCTGACTATCACCCTTACAAAACTAGAACATCTAAAGCAGGAAAATTTCATATACCCAGAACAAAGAAAAATTTGCAGAACAAAGCATCTTACAAGAAGGTCTGAGAATTTTTAATGAACTGCCTGAGGATATAAGAGTTGCAAAATCAATTAAAATCTTTAAAGTTAAAATATTAAGTTACATTAATGAAAAGAATCTACTGCAGGAATCAGCTTCTTCCAAAATTGGCTGATTAGGCCGACTGAACTCCTGTGAAATGAAAAAGGAACAAATAAATAAATCAATCAAACTATCAATATTTTATTGCATTCCAACTTGACCATCCAGGGCCTACTGGGTTCAATTAATGGCCTTATTGCCAACTATTTGTGTATGCATTCTATTACTATTTCTTTCTATACCTTTCCCCATGCTTTTTTTGTGTATTGTCTTTCATTTTTGTCAGTGTTTATCTTCATCTTTTGTCCTTTATCCTTATTTGCAAATATGTTTTAAAATATATTCTATTCTATATACAGTATTTATAAATATTTGTAAATCAAGAAGCCTCAAGGCATATAAAAATTGGTAATGGGTTGCATTAGTTTTGCAGCTGGACTAAAATTCATTCACTCCTCCGTTCTCACTTTCGCTTTTCATACTCTGTGGTGTGTAAATGCGAATATTCTATCATGAAATTTTCCTTCATACTCCTATTATGGTATTTTAGCTAATTGTGAGAGAAGGAAAAAGGAATGGAGAGTATTGTGTGAGTAGATAATTACATCCCTGATGAAATGGTCTGAATAGGGAGAGGTAATCATAATATTCAAATTGTAATTCACATCTCACCCTCCCACCTCCATATGAACCCTGTGCTCCCATGTAGCCTCATCTCTGATCCCTGTGACCTCTAACCATGGGAAACTATGCTATTTTAGGATAGATTTTGTACCATCCCATAGGAGTGCTTCCATTGATTGCAGGTAGTGACACCTTTCACAAGGGTGACTTTTTTGATCATCTGATGAGGCACTTCCTCAGGCAGTAGTACTTTATCTGTTTTTCACTAAAATTTTAATCCTAAAGCAGTATATAGCCCAAGTGAATATTCTGAGAAAATCCATCAGGTGTATTTTTTCTACTACTTCCTGCTCTCCCATGGTCTACATCATAATCATAGGTGTTTTTCCTAAGAACACAGCAGTCCTCCATGAATGGATGCCCATGCATGCAGCATGAAGTATAGAATGAATCATGAGAGGAAGAATCCTTTGGAAACCTTTGCCAAACTTAGGAGCCAGTTACCAAGCCAAGGCTCTTGGAAAAAGGTGATCATTCTACAGACCTATTCAGGCCTAGCTTTATTTGAGTTCTCCTGATTGGAGATCTACTTTAAAAAAGGATGCCCATGATAATAACCTGTTTGAAATGGTGTTAAACTGAATAGCTTTAACTATTGCTGCAATATATGTTTTTTTTTTTTTAAATGGAAGTAGGGCATATTAGGCTTCTCCTTTTTTTGTTAATTGATAATTCTGGTTCATATAATCTGGTTCCAAAAAATAGGATTGCAGCTGTGTATATCAGTACATAGATTTTGCTTTCAAATAATGTCACCATTAGCAATGCCAATGATATCCTACAGAAATTTGGAAGCGGTAGCATGTGGAAGTAACATTGACTTGTGTTAAATGAATGCTGCTGATTCATGTTTGAATTGAAGGGAATATGAACATGAGTGGTGAACCTGTTCATTCTTGGTATTGCTATGTAGTCTCTTCAGTGGCTTTGGCCTAGGTTAATCAGACAGTTCTTGTAAATATGAAACTAGTAGATTCTAGATTAGTTTAGTTAAGATCCTTCTGCTTTCGTGGACTATCCTAGGCCTAATGTGAAGCGCAATTCCAATTGTAAAAAATTGGTCATCTTGTGCAGCCTGCCCTCTTCATCGAAGTCCCAGGATGACTCTTACCCCCTTTTAAATAAAAAAAATGTATCAGCAGAATCTTGTGAGATCAAGAATGAAGCTTTTGTATCCATATAAAGCTTTGCTGGGAAGACATGAGACCATAACCAGAACTTGTAGGTGTAGCATCTCATTCATATCCACTGTTGGAATTGAAGTTCATGCTCAGATTGATTCTACAAGCAAGCTGTTTTCAAGTGCAGGTGTAGACTTCAATGCTGCTGTGAACTCTTTAGTTTCTCCATTTGATGCAGCCCATCCAGGAACTCTTCCTTCATTGAACAAGTGCTGTGTAAAGGCTGCTGTTCTCACTGCCAAGGCATTGAACTGCTCTATCAACAAGACATCAACATTTGACCGAAAACACTATTTCTACTCTGATCTCCCTGCTGGATATCAAATAACCCAGCAAAGACAGCCCATAGCAAAGAATGGGTATCTTTCCTATGTGCTTTTGAATTCTGGCTGTTCAAAAAAATTGCATGAGAAGAAAGTTCGAATCAAGCAGATTCAGTTAGAGCAGGATAGTGGAAAGTCACTCCATGACTTTTCTCGGTCTATCCCAGTGAGCTTGATTGATCTGAATAGAGCAGGAGTGGGTTTGATGGAAATTGTCTTTGAGCCTGACTTGAGAAATGGAGATGAAGCAGTGGCTGCAGTGAAAGAACTCATTGCAATCCTCAAGAAAATTGGGACATGCTCATGTAAAATGGAAGAAGGTGCTCTTCGAGTGGATGTTAATGTGTCTGTGAGCAGTGCTGTGGAAACTCTTGGTGTGAGAACAGAGGTGAAAAACCTGTGTAGTGTACGTTTTATGAAGCAGGCTATTGACTTTGAGATTCAAAGGCAGTGTTCTCTGTTGGCTAAAGGAGGTAGTGTGGTTAGTGAAACTCGTGCTTTCAGTGCTGAGAAAAATTGTACTGTGCCTATGAGAGACAAGGAAGAGAAGCAAGATTACAGATTCATGCCTGAACCTAATCTTCCTCCACTTCACTTGAGTGATAACAGTGATCCATTGGAACTTCGTGATAAGTATTTGAACATTAATGATGTTTGTGGTTTAATGCCAGAGCTTCCACAACAGACAAGAAAGAAATTAATGACTCAGTATAATATCCCACTTCAAGGTGCCTCCCTTCTCGTGTCAAATGATTTACTTCTTGAAAAGTTTATTTTCATTACTGACACCACCAAGATTAGTGGGAAGACTTGCATGGATTTTCTTGCTCTTCAGTTCCTTGGTGAAGTGAATCATGCTGGAAAGGAACTGAGTGATGTAAGTGTCAGTTGTGAGCAACTGGCACAAGTTCTCATTCACCTGGAGAGTGGGATAATCACTAGGGAAGGTGCTAGTGAGGTGTTAAAGCACATTCTTTCTGGTGATGTGCGTTCTGTGCAGGTAATAATTGATGCAGAAAATCTAAGACAAGTAATGGATGAAGGATTCCTCAGTTGCCTCTGTGATGAAATTTTGCATGATCATCCTGAGGCAGTGCTTGCTTACAAGAAAGGCAAAACCAAAGCATTGAATTTCTTTATGGGCCAAATTCGGCATCAAACCCACCATAGAGCAAACATGAAGTTAGCTAAAAAGCTATTCCTTGAGAAGTTGAGGGATGAGTCAAAATAATGTATATCATGGAGTGTCTCTTTCACTGAATAAACACTCTTTTTTTGTCCTCTAGGTAATGGAAAGAGTGAATAGTTATTGTTGTATCAGATATTTGATGACTTGAAAAATCATGCCCAAGCAAGGAGGAAAGAAAGCCACTTTATTGAGTGGAGTGTGTCCTGATAGGCAGTGCCAGACAAAGTTGTACTTCCCATCCTATCAGCAGAGCATAGAATGCACAGGATGTGGTCAGAGGCATGAGCCAAATCATCTCAAGGAAGTTTCTCATGTGGAAAGTCAAAACATTGCACTTGGAAATATCCTTCACAGCCTCCTCATACAAACTCCAAAGGAAGGAGTTGGAATGGTATGTTTATTCTATCATCCTTTCCTAATGGCAACCATAAGTTGTTCTTTTACCTCCGAAGTATCCTGCTAGTTAAGGCTTTTTTTTTCCCAATACAGGTAAAAGTATCTGGATTGTCCAACTATCACTGTAAGCTTCTTTCTCCACTGTTGACTTATTTTGGGATGGACAAGAATACAGGGAAGGCAGCTCCTCTCATTGAAGTTCTTGGAACTCCAACTCTTGACTGTGGAATACTCTCTGACAGAGCATTCATCCTGGAACCTGAACATTTGGATATTCCTGGTGAGGAAGAGGCTAAAACCATTCTATCAAAAAGTACAAGGGTTGTTCAAAAAGTAACTCTACAAGGGTTCAAACACCAAGATTGTCATTGGCATATCATTGTGGACTTTTGAGTTTGATGAATGGCCCAGAGATGTCACTGATATCATGAAATCAAGTTGAGACTGCTGTTGTTACATACATACTCTTTGCTAGCTCAAACCAATCCATCAATCAAACCTTGCAGGAATTTTGTGAAAAGTGTTTTCATAAACATCAAGGTGCAGAATGATCAGATCAATGGAGTTATATACATTTTGTCCGTGAGCCTTGGAGGGTTGATTTCAATATATTCCTGGCATGAAAAGAAACAAAATCTTCCATTGTTTTGATTGAGGACATCTAGTTGTTTGAATGGGAGTATGGTATGGCAAACCACCTTTGCTGGTTTGTGCACTGTCTTGGCCCATAGGTACTAGGGATGCACCGATACCAATCCAAAACATCGGTATCGGCCGCTACCAAATGGATCGGCCAGGATCGGTATCAGCCGATACCAATATGGCCGATCCGATCCGATCCGATCCGATCCGATTCTCCCTTGCCGCACGCCGTACTTGATGCGCAGCGCGTACATTTTTGGAACGTCTCGTGAAAAAAAGCCACACTCGTAATGGCATTCGGTTCCTTATGTCCGTCATAGTTCGTTTAAATCTACAACTGACAGACAATGAGCTTGAGCATGGTTAAAGCGTTATGCGAGAGAGGGCATTGAACGAATGGAATAGGCCTTTGTCATTCGCATACGCATTCATGCCTTCACTTTCCCCCTTCCGTACCGACTCCTGCCTTCCTGCGCTGACTGGTTTGCGCAGGTGCATTTTGTGCTCACGTCCATCCCGCCTCCGGCTCTCCCCTCGAGCACCGATCTCGGTTGTACAGTAGTTGCATCAGCTTCTTAATCCCTTAAGGCAGGGGTGCCCAACCTACGGTCCGTGGTGACAGTTCATCTGGCCCGCGGCGCTTCCCGAACATTTCTTCCCGAAATCCTGTTTTTTATTGGTCACTTTCTCTGCGCCCTCCCTCACCCTCGCGGCATTTATGTGATCTCGTTTGTTCCACTGACAATTCACCTTGAAAAGGACAGCCAGTCAGCTAGTTCTCAAGAAAGCTTTTTTGTTACCGTGTCTTGTTTTCCTGTGTTGTGTGGTGCCAATGACAGTGATTGCCAGCTTCGCAAAAATCAAAATGTCGGCGGCGAACATCGCGAATTCAAAGACAGCTGGACTATCTCTTTATATTGCCGAATGTGCCCAATCCAAACTTCACTGCCTACTTTGTCATGCCACTGTAGCTGTAATTTAGAGCGTAAACGCGAAAAGATCTTACGAAACTAACACATGGATTTAAACGCGAATTCCCCCAAAGGATTTCATGGAAGGAAGGAATCCTGAATGATATTTAATTTAATTTTGGATTATGGTTCTGTTGCCTCTATTTTAGGGCGGATATGCCTTTTCTTATTAGCCTTTCCCAATGAGGAAGTTTTATCTAACCAATATTTTTAACTTATCCCACCCATTATCCCTTTAGATTGGGAAATATGACTAAAAAAAAACGCAAAATGGACACGGAATGTCGTGTGTTAAAAAAAAAATGGACTGAGGAGTACTTCTGCGTTGCACACCAAGATAAAGTTTTGTGCCTTATTAGCAATGAAACCATTGCTGTGATGGAGTACAATATCAAACGGCACTATGACCCCTTCTTATATTGCACTACTTAGTCTGAAAGTAGTGCAAAATCAATATATAAGAAACAGGTATTGCGGCCCGCGGGAGGTCCCTTAGGGGGCAATGCGGCCCAGTTGGGGAAAAAGGTTGGCCACCCCTGCCTTAAGGACATTAGATGCAGTTCTTACCTCTACTCCTCTTAGCAATGATCGTCCTTTTACGTAGTACTTCCGTCCGACGTATTCTCGGCGGGCTTGGGGAATGGTGGAGGAAGTTTTGACCTATACTCAGGAAGCTAATATATTGCCGGCGTAAATGTCTCCAAAGCTAAATAAATGACAGGAACTTAGAATGTTGGGTCATTAGTGTCCAAAAAAGTTTTTTTCTTCCTTTCTATACCAAAGGTAGCATAAAGCCTGCTAAGGTCTGGTCCTGGATTGTGGTTTCATTTCTGACAGCAACTGGGAGCTATCTGTATCGGTATTGGTATCGGTATCGGCCGACACCATGACACTGGGATCGGTATCTGTATCGGCATCAGCATCAGCTAATCCTGGATCGGTGCATCCCTAATAGATACCTAATGTGGGGAAAAACATGACTTTTGCAGGAAGTGAAATGGAACTGCTTGATTCAGGAGTGATGTTAATTTTGGATTACTCTAAAGTTGGAGGTTTCCATTTAGTTTGGTGTAAAGATTAATGGATTAAAGGGTACCATAGAGAAAGATGAATCAATTGGGTGAAGAGTGATGCATTCAATTTGTTAGAAACATAGATACACTCATTGACATTTCATTATCAGGATATGGGAGAGATGTTTCTGGGAGTATGGTGTACCTCTCAGAAACACTGACTGCAATGAAAAATCATAATGAAGGAGAAGAGAGACTTGTCCCTATTCATGTTGATGGAGATGGTCATTGTCTAGTGCATGCCATCTCAAGAGCACTTGTTGGCCGGGAGCTCTTCTGGCATCCTCTTCGATCACATTTGAAGAAGTTTCTCCAAGACAATCTCTCCAGGTTCAAAGTAAGCTACCCTATGTTTTCTGTGGCATTCTCTTTCTCATTCCACATGAAGTCTTCATGGTGTAGTACCTGAGGGATTCTGGTCACCACTGATAGCAACTTTTTATGTTCTAGGATCTTTTGGCTGAGTTTGTGGAGCCTTTGGAATGGGAAGTGATCATCAATGAATGTGACCCTGAATACAAACCTCCTGTAGGGGAGTCTCTTGGGCTACGAAACATCCATGTGTTTGGATTGGCAAATGTCTTACACAGGCCCATTGTGTTACTTGATTCCCTGGCTGGCATGCAGCGATCTGGTGATTATGCTGGTAAGTTCAATTTACAGACATTTATGGATACCCTTCATAATGATCCTGCAAAAGTTGGATCCATTGAGGGTGACTATGCACTTCAACTGTTTCCAGCTACATTCCCACCAGCTGCATGTGATGTCTGTGACTTGCCATGAGTTTGATTTTTCATGTAGCCCATATTATCCATCCAGTCTGACTTAACCCTTCTCCAGTTTGTTTCTCTCTGGGAATTTTTGACGAACACGCATAGCTCTGAGAAAATTGCCTGGTATTCTTTGCTTGTTCATTTAATTGAAAATATTTTGGTGTAAATCAAAAGTGGAGAGAGCAGAGAATGTTTTCATATAAAATCTTGCTCATTAATCTAAAGGTAAAGAAGCCATTTTCTTGGTCAATGTTTGAAGGAAAAAACATGGCAGTTGGTTTTAATAGTTTTTTCCTGGGTTTTAAAGATGGAGGGGCAAGTCTTTTGTGCATTTATGTGTAGGGGGATCTTAGTCCTTTATTATTGAGTCAATAGGAAAATTATAAGAAATCAGGCTGGATTGGATGAGTGGGAAATACATAAAAAATCCCAAGCGTGCCGTAAATAGAGACGTTCACAGGCCCTCCTTCAAGTCTCTGCCAATGATAAAGGCTTTGATTACTTCTATGACTTGTAACAGGAGATGCAGTGCAGTGGAGGGCTCTTTCTGGAAGAGCCAATCATGTGAAGGTATTCCGCACAGGAAGTACAGCTAAAATTTTTCCCAAGTTCTTATGTTTTCTACATGATGTCATTCCTTTATTTTGTAATGCAGACAGTTGAAACTTCAAATCCATGTTACTATACTTTCTAGCTCTGCATGTGTCACATATGACGCTCATTCTACATTTAATTCTGGAGATCTAAGCCTTTATGTCATCTGACATTTTTGTCAGATTTCTCTATAGCAAACCGGTTAAGGGTTAACCCATTTGGGAAGTTCAGAGACCTTTGAAGCTTTAACTGAGGTAAAAACCCCATAGTCCTCTTTTCCATTTGCATCCATTCGACCATTTGCATGAACTGGAAAAATGAGTTTAGAGCAGTGCGGCCCCAAAAGTCACGATCAGGACCCCAAGCACTGGCCAAAGTTCGACAGGCTCACCCTACCTATCTGCTAAAACCGCAAGAAAAAAACGTAACATGGCATGGGGTTGCTAGTTTGCAACCCCAAATATCATCTTGGCGACCCCTGGGTTGGGAAGCCCTGGTTTAGAAGCACTGTCACTGTGTGACATGCCAGCATTACACATGGTCCCACAGTGAAGACCAGTGCTTACCTCCTTGGCAGTTAACATGTTACACAATCTCTTGGCCAGCTGCACAAAGGAGGGCTGGACAAAACTGTTTATTTCTTTAGAATTCTTGAGTTTTGGATCTTGCCACTTTCATGGAGAAAGGATCATTATGTTGAAGCTGTAGAAGTGCTCTTTGCATGATATAATGCAGGGATTATTTGTGAAACTCTTGCAGCAACATTCTTACCGGCCCTCTTCCCACCTGAGCAATGTTGTGGGAAATCAGGGAAGCTGAATCCACCATTATGCCTTGCTTGGAGTTCATCTGGATATAACCACTTCATCCCCCTTGTTGCACTTCGATCCCGTCAGTTCCTTCCACTTCCTCTTTTCAAAATGTAGCATGATGAACTGTTGAGAGGCCCAGTAAGCTTACACAATCATGTCACTTCCTTTGATTTCATTTCCAAAAGTTAGTACTTATGGAAGTGGAGATTTCACATGTTAATTTAGTTTTTGCATTTTTATTTGCTAGTATGTGATTATGTCAATGTAGTAGTTGCAACTATTCTGCTTTGCATTTGTGACTAATCATACTTGCTTCACTTTGCTAGATAATATTGGATTATATTAAATTCTTCAAAGCCAGTCAGTGTCAGATTAAGAATTTTGCTTTCTGTATATGTTTTTAATGTACATATTTTCATTATGTGCAGTAGTTGAACTGGCCTAATGATTGCTTGTAGAGAAGCCTACCATGTAGAAAAAAATAACATGTGCATCCTGTTTGCTTCTAGTATTTTCAAAGAAATTCACTCTGAACACAGAGAAAAGTACCATGCTTGCAACACCTTGTATCAGGGAAAGGTATAAGTGTCATCAGAATGGCAAGAAGATGGCAGGAGAGGACGAAAGAAAGCCAGGGGTCGGCCGGGAATTGAACCCGGGTCAGGTGTGCTACCACTACACCACCGAACCCAGGACGTTCAATCATGCCTCTCGATGCCATCCTTATCATTACACTATCCCCTCCTTAAGGAAGTCTGGACCTCCAGACTTAGTACACAAATGACTGCCAGGCCTTTCGGATACTTGGGTGGTGAGTACATGGGAGTATACACAAATGTCCTCTATGGGACCAATGTCCTCTGCGGGACTATACAATCGGGGCCTCCCCCTCAACTCCACCATGCCTCTTCACAAATCCACCCTCACTACTCATGCCACGGTCAGTCAGCTTCCAATGCATTACGGGTTCCCATCCCACTCCTGACACCAATGTCATGAGAATGGCCGGAAGATTGGATGGCAGGAGAGGACGAAAGAAAGCCAGGGGACAGTTGGGAATTGAACCCGGGCCTCCTGATTGCCAGTCAGGTGAGCTACCACTACACCACCGAACCCGGGACATTCAATCGTGCCTCTCAATGCCATCCTTATCATTACATAAGGAATGTTTTCTCATTGCTTTGAAAGCAATGAGAACGACTTTATTGCAAGGAAGTGACTTCCAATAGATAGTTGCTGACTGTGCAATGCAAGTCCAACATGTGGGTCGCTTTTCAGATTGGTAACCATTTTAGCAATGCATTTGGATCACCACAGTTTCAACTTGCCCTTTGCTCATAACTGTTGTGGGATGTATTGAACCCATGTAGTCATAGCTGGCCAAAAATTTTCAATGCTGTCATATTTTTTGGCTGGGATCTTTCTCTTTTGACTTTCATTTGTTTGATACTATGTAGTGTGCTTTGCATGGTAAACATTATGACAGTATTGAATGCATTTACGCAGTTGTAAGTGCATGGGTTTTAGATATCCCACTTATTTATGAGTATGGCCTGTTTGGGTTAAGAATGTGGTGAAAAAGAAGCATTGTTACAATGGTTACTATGGCAAGAAGTGTTGGCACTGCATTGTGCACTTTTTGGAAAATAATAGTAAATCTTTCTTGTTTCATTGATTGTTCCCATTGTACTTTCCTTCATCTACGTCATGACCCATAATACTTCAGTGACACCCATTGATGTTTCTTACATTCCTTTTCTGTTTTTATTTTCTATTTAGGAAAATTGCCAGTATTGCACCGTTCCCTAATTCCAAAAGTTTGGGGTTTGGAAAATGCTCTTGTGGAACAATACATGGATTTTGGGAAAGATGGAAGTCTTGTGATTGGAGGGGATCGCATCTTGCCAGACATGTACATCCTCAGGTTGGCTACAGCTATGGACCAGCTTTTCCTGGACAAGTATAAAGTCCATCCAGCCTTGGTCTCTGATGTACATCATTATGTTTTCAAGAGATCTGGTATGTGTCAAGTAGATGTACTTTGCCCAACTGCAAAAGAGATGAGAGGAAAATCTAATAAACTTGTGTATGTCATGATTTGTGTAGGAGTGGTTGGAGTGACTGCAATGGAAGTGATTCAGGCAACTCAGAAAGCAGTGTCTCAAGGAACCCTCTACTCTTGTATATCATGTCATGCTGTATCTGGGACATTTGTATCAAATGAATGGTTTAAGCCCTCTGGTGTACTATATGAAAATGCCGTCAGCCAGTATGGAGCTCTTCGGCCAGAGAAGAGATACAACTTTCCCAATCAGGTGCGTAGACTAGCAAGTGTAGCTTTTAATTCACTTCTACAGGGTGCTCTGAAATTATTGTCCATTAAAAAAAATACATAACTTTGCCACCACCAAAGGTAACACTGCATACTTTGTGCCTCTATGTACAGATGACCTTGAAAATTTTTATTATTCATTGTATAAGATAGTATGTCCAGTCTCTTTTATGTGAAACAGCAATCTACTATTTGGCTACTTTGGAGGAGAAGGCTCAGTGCATGTTATGATTGAAAAGATTTTCCTCAATGCTGGAAAGTTTACAGAATACCAAAGCATATACGAGGGTCACTCCAAAAGTAATGCCTGTTAAATTTTTATGGTTTAGCTTTGGATGGAATATCTCCAAACTTTTAAGGTGAGTTGCTTAGTGTTTCCTGAAGGTATGACAATTTTTTTACATAGTCCCCATGGTGATCAAGGCACTTTTTCCAGTGTTTCACAAAGACTTGTGTGCCATTGTGGTAAAATTCCTTGCCAACATTTCGAAGCCATTTCTTGACAGCCTCATTGACCTCATTATCAACATTAGAGTGTCTGAGGGTGTTGATTTGCTGAAGGGTATTTTGACCAATACTGGTAGAGTCTCATATCTCCCTGGTTGTGATGTGCCTGCCATTTTGGAAGAGTTCATCAACCATGGTGGTGTTCTTGTCTGTGCATGAAATCACAGGATGGCCAAAGTGCTGCTTGTCTTTGATCTCATTTTCTCCCAACTTAAAGTAATTCACCCATTGCCTGACTGTGTTCTTGTCCTCTCAGGGCGAATAGACTGGCTTGAGTCATCAGTGAAAATCTGCTTGTCTCACACCCTCAGCATTCAGAATTCAATTGCTGTGCACTGTTTCTGATGCAATTTCAGCACAGCTACCATTTTGAACATGTGCCCAGCAAGAGGACCGATCTGGGCTCTGGTGCATCACAACCAGGGAGACATGAGACTATCGGCATTGGTCAAAATACCCTTCAGCAAATCAACACCCTTGGATACTCTAATGTCGATAATGAAGTAGATGAGGCTGTCAAAAAATGGTTTCAAAATGTTGGCAAGGAATTTTACCATGATGGCACACAAGCCTTCGTGAAACACTGGCAAAAGTGCCTTGATTGCTATGGGAACTATGTGAAATAATTGTCAGACCTTGAGGAAATGCTAGGCAACTCACCTTAAAAGTTTGGAGCTATTCTGTCCTAAGGTAAACCAGAAGGAGATCTTCAATTCTGTAATAATGTGATCACTTTGAGAAAGAAAGGAATCTCTGCATGATTTTCCTCTAAATCACCAGAGGAAAGTTTGAGGATATCCTTCACATTCAACTTTTGCTATATTTTTTTTAAGCTTGAAAATGCAAATTTGTTTTGAGAGCCCTAGATACAGTGCTGCCAAGTATCTGATAGTCTGCATGATGATTCTGATTAGTGAATGGATGATAAAAAGGTCTTACTTGAACTACACAAATATGATTCCTGCACAAGTGTGTAGCCACTTGCATCATCATGTTAGGCTTGCCAGATATTAGCAAATAATGCATGGAGAGCCTGCTTGTATGGACTGATAATATACAGGGTGGCCCAAAAAAAACTGCACCGATTTTGATCGGCAATAACTTTTGAACTAATAAACCTTTCTTTGTGCTCGAAATGCAGCATCCTTTGGCATCCTATGGCGATTTTCCGTTGCATGCTTACAGACCAGACCAGCCTTGTACATCCACTTTTTTGAGTGCTTGTACTTAAATTCCAATTGCTCTGGATTGTTGAAGGAAATTTGATAAATGATATGGCGATGGAAAGAGGATTAATAGACCTTTCAATTCCCATTTCAAAAAAAGGTTCACTAGTTCAAAAGTTATTGCTGATCAAAATCGGTGCGGTTTTTTTTTTGGGCCACCCTGTATATTTTAAATGGATGGTTGTTTCTTACTGTACACTCACTGGTAGTCTCAATATGCTTGCAGCATTGAGGTAAATCTTTCCAACCTCTGTATATATTGAACCCTCTCCTTAGAAGTTGTCTTGTTGATTATTATTTTTTCAACATCATCTAAGTGGTTGCTAAGTCATCAGCATTTTAAATATGTAAAGAGTTTATGGACATGCAGCACTTACATGCATTGATCTGCACTTGCTCTTTCTGCCTTGAATTTTTTCATCCTTATGTTGTATCCATTCCTTCAAAAGTTATTTCAGCCTTATGTTACATTCATCCTCTCTTGGGTTTAGGTAGCCTCATGTTTCATTCTTATCCCTATAGGGTTTGGTATGCTCCTTTGATGCTGTGAAAAATGAACTCATCCCAGAACTAGACACACTGAAGATAGAGATATGTCCTTGTTGTCAGAGGTCAGTTTAGATTTTCATTTTTTCCATTTCTTACTTCCCTAATGACCTCTGCACAACTGGTTGAATTCTTGCAGGCGCTGCATGCGACCAGTGAGAGGGGATGGAAGTGTGATCTACAAGAATGGAGATCACACAAGAACAAGAGCTCTGAAGAGTCGCTGCCCATATGGATTTAAGCACTTCTGGGATGGCCAGGAATATGATAATTTGCCACAAATGGTCACTGTAACCCTAATGCATGGAAGTGGTCCAATTTTTGAGCAGGTCCCTTGGTTCCAAAATGAAAGTGACCCTTCCATGAACTCCAATGCCTACAACATTGCTTCTAAGGTGGTACAAAAATATTTTCCTGGTAAGTACTTCCCATCTGTGGCAGTTCTTGCTTGTAAATACTGCATTGATATCCTGGTTGAATGTCTATGGTGAGATTTTATTACCAATTAAGTGGATGTAATTGAAGGAAAAGATGTTTCTCTTTCTGCAATCATGAAGAGACAAATCCAAATTTCTCAAAAACAATATAAAGGCAAGTGAATCATGCCTGCAAATGTAACTACTGGTTTGGGGACAATGTTCACTCCCAGTTGGGTATAGGGATAGAACTCTGATCAAGGTTCAGGGTGAACAAAACTCCTTAGAAGCTCTTGTCATCCAACAAAGGCTATGTGTTAAAACAGAGTCATTCCAATTGTTTTTCTAAAATGTAATTAAAGTTGAGATGTACAATATGTTGTAGTAAATGGTGCAAAAGTTGGGATGTGGTACCCTCCACCTTGCCTCATTTTGACTGAAAATGATGAATCTCCTGCAAAGTATTTGTTTTTTTTGAAGGGTCTCATCAAGTACCACAGTATATTTGGGTTGACCCAAAAATAATGAGACTTTGATAATAACCATATATCTATGTAATTTTAACTCATAAAGTTTGAAAAACAGGTAAATCAATAATTGATTACTGCTATGGTAAAATAAAAAAAAATTGATTTTTGCATTTGGGTTTAAATTCAAATCTTTTCATGTGTTATTATTTGTTAGTGTGATGCATGGAATGCAGTGAATGGAATTTTAGATTTTACATGTACACAGAATGGAAATGTGTCACCAATCTTACCAGCATCCAACAGAATCTATGCTCTGTAGGGGGAGATGACACCCCAGGATTGTCAACTGTGCATCACAGGGTGCAACAATTTTATCAAATTAATTTAATTGCCATCTATCCATCTAAAATTATCTTTGGTGTGTTCCATGCATCACACTAACAAATAATGGTCCATGAAAAGATTTTAATTTAAACCTGAATGCAACAATAAATTTTTTTTAATTTCTCATAGCAGTGGTTGATTATTGATTGTGCTGTTTTTAAAATTTTATGTGTTAAAATTACATAAATATCTTGATGATGTTGAAGTCTCATGATTTTTGGGTCAGCCAAAATATTTGCTGTATGGCACCATGTAAATTGGATGCAGCACTGTGGATACTGCACAAAAATCACAATCATATCATTCAGGACCCCAAGCACTGGCTGAAGTTTGACTGGCTAAAATAGCAAAGAAAAACATAACTTGGCATTTAGTTGCTGGATCAGAACCCCTAATGTATCGGTGATCCCAAATGGGGCTGCGACCAATGGGTTGGGAAGTCCTGGTTTAGGAAGATACTCGTTATTCACATATCTGTTACTCATATAACCATTGCTCACATAATCAGTATTTGCATAACCATTATACACATAGCTCTGTTCTATGAAATGAAGGATCACCAAATGATGTGTCATATTAATTTATTATTTATTTATTGGAGTTAACGTCAACCCTCAAGATTATTGCAGAAGATGGCCATAGTACATTCTTTGACATTCGAAACTCCCAACTTTGCATCTGGCTTTGGGAAACCCAGAATAGAATGCAGTACTACTTCTGTTTTGCAAGAGTTATGGGCAGCAATCTTACCACCTTGGCCTTTGCTTTTCCAAACTAGGTCTTGTAGAATACAGCATCACATATGCTTGCCCATGCTCTTGTCATATCTACTCTGTGGAAGGAATTGAATTGATAAGTTATTAATTCTACTTGCAAAGTAGAACCATCTACTACTACTACTACTAACCATCTACTACTTTTTACTAGTACTACCTGGGCCAACTGGAGTGTAGGGTTGGTAGGTATTTTTGGTTGCTTGGGCTGGATTGCATGTAGGAGGAAAAAGGTTTCTGTTACCAGGATTCAAATCAAGACCTTTCAAATCAGATTGTTAATGATCAACTGAGCCACCCTTTTGTGCAAGGAGAGCTTGCCAATCAAATTCATTTACTATCCTCTATTTCTCTCTGGGTGGATAGGGGAATGAGGAAAATTGCTGGCCTGTGCGAATTGCCCCTTCCAAGAAGGTACAATCTCAGATGCGTATGAATATCTTGCAATTAATGAATGTTCACATCATACCTAGAGCCACCTTCTTTTGTTGCCTGTAGCATGCCATGGCCAGTCTTGAAGTCTCGTTATGTTTCTTCTTATATGCTATTTCTTGTTCTTTTTACATTCCCCGAGTGCCTTCATACAGGCTTGTTGTTTTGCCTTAATGTTAGCCCTCTCCTCCTCACTCTTCCATTGTTGCCATTTCACTTGTCTCTGAGTTTTCATTTTTGCCATGATCATTAACTCATCATCAGTAATACTTTAAGAATTATGCACTGAAAAAAAAATTGTCAACCTTTTCACACACAACCCAAAAATCACGATCATACCATTCAGGACACCAAGCACTGGCTGAAGTTTGACATGCTCTCCCATTCAACACGCTCTCCCACCAATGCACTAAAATCGCAAAGAAAAACATAACTTTGCATTTAGTTGCTGGTTTGTGACCCTATATATCAGTGGTGCCCAACCTTTTCGGCTCGGGGGCCACATAGCCCACTCCCACAGTCATCGCGGGCCACATGCAGTCGCTAATACTGTAGGAGAATATTTTATGGAAACTCGTGGGTATTTATTGCAGCTCAAGCCTATCTGTTTTAATGTGACTTCTGCACTTGCATGTCCGACGCCAATTTGTCGATGTCTGGTTGCAGGTTAGTTGTGGCCAGTCGCATCAGGCCAGCTAGGTTCATGTCCGTAAGGTGCGAATGGTGTTTACTCTTGATAATTTTCATCGCCGAGAATGCTTGTTCACATCAGTAGTTATTCCCAAAGCGGCAGATGTATCGCTGAGCAAAATCACGTAAGTTCGGAAAGTCATTCGGTGGCAGTATTTTCCAAAAAGATATCATTTGTTCTGCAGTTGGGACGCCAGGTATTTCGTTTGAACCTGCTCTTGAGCATGGAGTTGCACTTAAGGTCTATGATTTCTAGCTGTAACTTCTCTTCCACCAACTCTATCTTCCTGTCAGAGAAGATAAACGGGTTTGTAAACAGCGTCACTTTGTCTTCTTCTGCTTCGATGTCTTGAAATCGGGACTGAAATATCTCTTCCAGGGTTTCCAGTATCTTCTTGTACTTGTCCGTGTCAACTCCGGTTTCTGCCTCCCTCTCTTTTAAGTGTTCGAAGTTCTCCAGCTTTCTCTGAGCCATCTGAGACACCAAAAGCTTCAGCTTCAGTTTGAAAGAGGCAACGTCATTGGCAAGATTTGTGAAAAGTTTGTTACTCCCCTGCAGTTTCCGATTCAAAGTGTTCAAGTGACCGGTAATATCAGTCAGAAAAGCTAAGTCATTGAGCCACTTANCCCCTCAAGTTGGAACAACTGAGAATGAAAGAAGGCATGTGCACCTGCGCATGAAGTTGCTTTGGCTGTTCCGCAACTGGAGGAGCCACAAAAGATAGGGCTCGACGCTAATTCCAGCCGGCTCGTTAGGGCCTTGGTCGAGGTGCCCCCCGTCGAGAAAGGGTTCACTTTATTGTAAGCAGATTATGAAACAAAACAAAATAAAGAAAGTTCCAGGGCAGGATTATTAACCACCTCCTGACCTCCCCCTCGAGGCGATAAGAATCGCTGCTTTTGCTCGGCTTAGCCCAGGTCATTTAGATGTGGCCCTTCCAGTTGCAATACAGCCAGAATATTTTTTTTTCTCCCTTAGCGCCTCGCGGGCCAGTTGGAAGCACCTCTCAGGCCACTTCTGGCCCGCAGGCCACGGGTTGGGCACCACTGCTATATATGATCTTGGTGACCCCAAATGGGGTCATGACTAATGGGTTAGGAAGCCCTTCTCTATTGCCTATCAATGTGGGCCTTTGCCCTCTCCCAGCGTTTCATCTTGGCATCTGCGAGCTGTACCTTTGCCTGCAGATGATGCCCACTTTTGTGCTCCTTTTGGCTGTAGCAGTTTGAGCTGGAAATACTATGAAAGGGTTTATTCCCTCTTCTCTGTTGAAAGTTACTGTGTATTTTATGTTGGTGCTTAGAGTTAGGGGCAGTACTAGCTTTAGCCTGTTCAAGTGGTTTGAGGAGAGTTTGTACCAGAAGCAGTGAGGCTGGCCATGCTCACATTTTCATCAGCTATGGTGATTCCTATGCCCTCAGGAGAGTTTGGGAAGGAGCGATTGGTGCATCAGCTAGTGGAGCAGATTCTTATGTTTACAAAGAGGCCAGAGGCTTTGGAAAGCAGACAATGTGAGGGAGGAATGGATTCATCAACCACAGACACTTCAAACTTTCCTCATCGTGCCCCACCTGACAAAATCATTCTCACTGGTCACAGCTCCAAGGTAAGTCTATCCAGTATTTCATTATCCTATTCAAGATTCCCACAAACCAAGATAGCCTGTAGATATGATGTGAAAAATATATATACTGGGTGGTCCATTTAAGTATTTACAGTTTTGTTTGGTTACAGCTTGTGTATTTAAAAAAAAACTGATTTCAATAACATTTTAACAAAAAGTAGTGCAGACCTTTGAATTTTATTTGGCCAATTTTCATTGAGTTCTGCCATGAGGTTTTTGAGAAATTAAATTTTTACTGTCACTCAAAACTTTTGCAGATGCACGTTGGTTTTTCATCTTATTCTGACACATTGAAATTGGACTATAACTTCAGATTTTATATCCATAGGGTAAGTTGGGGGAATGTGACCATGGGTGAAATGTGGCCATAATGTTACATTTCATCAAATAATTCCCGAACTTTCACAGAGATGATGATACTTTACATGCGTCAGCACTGATACAATATGACTTACTATCTATCAGTGTGGGTGACCCTAACTGACTCCATATAAGAAAGGATCTGATTATCGAGAGTAATAAAAAATTATGAGTCAAGATTTCCTGCCCAATATATATTTTAATTTTTCATTTTTTGATTGCATTCCTCATACATGATGAGTCGAGGAATGCATTTGTTTCTCAAACATTTATATTGGACATTGTCATGTCATGTGATGATAACACATTTTCCCTGCTGCTAATTATTCGACAGTGTTGCCAATTGAAAATGACCTATGCATTTGGGGTAAAGTGGCCACATGCATTTGGGAGAATGTGACCCGTTAATAATTTTTCTCCTTTTCATTTACAGATGCCTAGAACGTATTTCCTGTTGAAAAAAGAGCGTAAATACACAAAAGAGAACTTGAACAGAGCAGTGTTCTATGTTAAAACTGGATCTTTCAGCAGCTTTGAAAGCATATGGAATTCCAAGGAAAACTCTTGATCGTTATGTGGCTCAACGTACTCACCAAGGTGGTGGGGATATTGAATTTCGCCCGCTAGGACGATTGCCTGAGCTGGGATATGAAGTGGAAAGAGCTTTGGCCAACCATTTGATAGCTTATGGCTTTGGATATTCATAGTGGCTAGACTTTGATCCACTATGAGAAATGTGCATTATGTTATCAAGTTGACTATATTGGAAAAGATTAGGACTAGAAGCTATGTATATACCTAACGTGTTTTGCAAAATAGCAATGTGGTCATATTTCCCACAATGATATGGTCACATTTCCCACAATTTGGGGGAATGTGACCCAAATCGTCTTTTGTCAGTCTTTTGAAAATAAATTCTTCAAAATTAGAGAAGTGAACGATTTTATGATCTCATTGAATAAAGAGCATATCAGAGAGAATTATCCTGTTTATTTTTATATTTTTTAAATTCCCTATGAATTCATCAAAGTTGAACTATGGTCACATTCCCCTAAATTACCTTATCCTCATGGGAGGTCAAGCTCTGCCCCTTAAATTTTTAATGTGTATAACTTTGGAATAATTGGTCAGAGGGAAAAAAATCGGCAAATGTTTTTCTTTTGCTAGAACTACACTCACCAATTTTGATTGAATTCCAAGATGCTACCCCATAAAAATTAGGGCTGTCACGATAGCAGTTTTCAAAACATCGATGCATCGACCTAAACTATCGATAGTGTATCGATGCATCGGGGGGGGAGGGGGGGGGGGGNGTTCTACACTGTCTTTGGACATCGGCACCGGCAGATAGGAAACCTGCTGATGGTGCCATACAGGCGGTTGCCGAAACATAGGTACAGCCGTAGAATAAGCAACGTCCATGTAAAAAATTCACTTTGATTTCACCTTAAGTAGAGATGAAACGCCCCAAGGCAAGTTAAAAATTAAGAAAGTTAAGCCTGCATACTAAAGTGATAGGAATATACAGAGGGGGTTATCCAACGTACGTTTCGAAATCAAGGCAGTATAAGAACAGTCCACTTCCGCAGCATGCACCTGATGAGGTCGAGCCGGGAGACTGAAACTGACGACAAAAAAATATATATATATTCTTATATTCTAAAATATAGAAATATATCCCTCTCTTTTCCCACTTCCTGTCTCCGATCCGACTTTTTTTCCCCTTCCCGTCTTTCATATAGTCAGTCCCAACATTTCCAGAATTTGATTGTGATAAGAAATTGCTCGCCCATGCGTGTCACGCCGCTTCTTCCTTTCCTCGCCTGGACGGACAGTACTCGCCTCAATTCAATGGGACATTTCCCCATTAAAATATTTTGCCGATGCATGGCAATGGTCGAAAAAACTATCGATATCTCCAACTATCGATAGTGGTATCGATGCATCGATCTATCGTGACAGCCCTAATAAAAATCCATGTCCTACTGACATATTAGTGAACCTCATGATACCTGGGGATGCCATGTTTTTTTGCAATCATTTTGTTGATAGTTCATCCTTTAATGCCATGCAGCATTTGGTAGTCCTGTATCTACTCCTTCATGGTGTTGCAGTTGGTGTGTGTACCCTTAGCAGGAAAAGAACTATACAGTGTAGAGTCATGCTATCTCTTGTCATGATTATGCTTGCTTACATAATTTTGGAAAAGTGGAAAATTTGTCAGTTATGTCATGAAAGATGAACAGGAAAACATGTTTGTTCGGTCTCCCCAACAAATTTGAATAGTATCTTGTTAGCTGTACCATAACAGAAGTTCTCTTTGGAGACCCATTTGTTAAGATTCATTCTGGTTGGTTTTTTCCTGATGTTGGTTTTGTTTTATCTTCTTCTTCCAGACTCTGCATAAGGAAGAACTGAAATGTGGGAAAACTGAAAGAGAGGTGAGAGAGGCAGTGCGCAAGAAAGCCCCTGTGATGCAGAAGAGAGTATCAGGAAACATGGAGATGGAGACTGAGAAGACCAGGAAGCAAGGGAACTTGAGCATGAAATCCCACACTCCCTCTACTGTGTCTCCTCCTTCAGAATCACTTGATCCTAAGGGGATGAAAGGAATTAGGGTTGCCACTTCAGATGGGAAACAGGCTATGGTGGAACTCCCACATGCCTTGACATTTGAGGCATTGGTTGGATCTGTGGCCAAAGCTTTTGGGATTCGGCAAGAAAGGATCAAGCGGCTCCTTTGGGGATTCCCACCCAAGGAACTTTCACCATCTGACCCTCTTCCTTTGAAGGTGTGTTATTCTGTTTTTTTCTTCATCTTTCATTCTTTTCTCTTTAGTCTTGAGCATTTTCCAGAGCAGAACATTTTCTTTCAAATACTGACTGCACCACTTTGAATGGTCCTCTTGGAATTCATTACTAGAATTCCTTTATATCATATGTCTACATTTGAAAACTTGATTTTCTGCACCAGTGAATATAAATGTAATATTATCAATCAATCAAGTTTATTGGTTGACAAAGAGTATTCAATCGACTTAAATTAAATTGCCACTACGGACAAAGACGTAAGAAGTAAAGAGACAAACATGGACATCAAAGGAGCAGGTGCTGTATAGTGCTCTCTGTCAGTTTCACTGTTCCTGTAGAGCCCCTAGAGAGACAGAGCCTGGCCAATTCCAGTCCCTGTTTTCAACTAATCTGATTGGCTGTCGCACCTGGGCGCTATTTTGATTTCAGGAGCCCGGCATCGGCTGCATGGGAAAGGTCAATCCCTTGGGCTTTTTTGGTGATAGTGCCCTGCTGTATGGCTGTTGGATGCTCCAACAGGAGTGAGACTAGATATACTGTAGAATGTTTCGCTTCCTATCAAAGAGGAATTGTCGGGCCCTTTGGGCTGCCTAGGTGAAAAGACTGGACACCGACAGCGAATTCATATCTCTGTGATGTCAGTTGTCTGGTCTAAAAAAAATAATAGGCAGAAGTTCTGACAAAAAAATTTGATCATTCATCACCCCTTCTACACCAATTCGGTCGAGGTCTGGATGAATTTAAGCTCAGAAATAGGCGAAACATGCATAGATGTGGTGGATGGGTTGGTGACATTACAAACCCTGCCCAAGTAGGCAGTGGCGTAGCGAGGGGGGGCTTCAACCCCCCCACGTTTGGTTCAAGCCCCCCCAAACTCCCGTCTAAATACAGGGTGCCCAGTAGAAAACCAAAGGATTGCAATTAGCACGCCTTTAACAACGAAATGATGTTTTCTGTCGACAAGTATACATCTAGTATAATATTTCTAATATATATTTATATAATATATATTTCTATATATTTATATAATATATATTTCTATATATTTATATAATATATATTTCTATATATTTATGTAATATTTCATCTAGTAGAATATTTGTAAATCCTTTGTGAATAATCTTGAATAAATCCTTAATAAATAAAAATAAATCCTTTGGTTTTCTATTGGGCACCCTGTACATCCCCCCCCCACCGGGCGAAGGGAAGTTAGCCCCCCCCCCCCCCATTGGCGATACTCTGGCTATGACATTGCAAGTAAGCCCAGGCATAATTAAGACATAACAGGCCTATCTCAGGCTTGGCCTGAGATAGGCCTGTAAGCTTTGGATCCATTACTGGTAGGTCTACAATCAACATTTTGGAGCTTATTTGCTAACGACGACTAACTTGCTAATATCGACTTCTCTTCTCTTTCTCTCCCCCGTAGGTGAATAGCATATATGGAGCTGGCTGAGCAGAATGTATATGGGGATTAGCTTTAGTTATCCACTAGTATGTTGGGATTTTTGTATATTAGGAATGACTCAAATGTCAGCCAAGGTGCAAAAAAGGCATTTGAGAGCAATGGATTATGATCGGTGATGTTCGGGAGTGTATCTGATCATCTTGTTACGCATATGCGCATTCAGATCTGGGCCTGTTTTCAGGGAATTGAAGGGATTTATGCGAGAAAGAACTGGGAGACTGAATGCAGAGGAATCAAAATGGCGCCCAGTCCAGGAGTTGGCCTGGCTCTGTCACTCTAGGGTAGGGCTCCCCAACCTTTTTCACGCGCGACCCCAAAAATCACCATCATACCATTCAAGACCCAAAGCACTAGCCGATACTCGACAGGCTCCCCCCACCTATGCGCTTGAATCGCAAAGAAAAGCATAACTTGGCTTTTAGTAGCCGGTTCGCGACCCCAAATATGATCTTGGCGACCCCAAATGGGGTCGCCATGACCCCTGGGTTGGGAAGCCCTGCTCTATGTTCCTGGAAGCAACATTTTGTGCGCGTTGACTTGTTGACATCCATCAATTCACCCTTATTTGTAGACCTGCAGAACTGGATGCAATATTCCAACTGGGGTCTTAGCGCCGCATACAACGGAAGAATAACGCGCGAAGTCCTACTTGCAATTGAACGACGAATGTAACCTAGAATCCTGTTGCATTTGGCCACCGTCGCTTGCGCGTGCGAGGAAAACTTGAGGTCCTCGTCGATAGAAACTCCTAAATCTCTCTCCCCGTTTGCCTCATCCAATTTAACATCGCCGAACGTGTCGAGAGACCTACCGTTGTTTCGACCGACGTGGAGAACTTTACACTTACTTTTATTAAACCTCATGAGCCATTTCTTGCTCCACTCGTCCAAAAGACTTAAATCTCGCTCGGCTCGAGCCCTATCCGCCTCCCCC